TTTTAAGCAGGAGATTAAACTCAGTTACTACTACTTCATCTTGGCTGGAAACTGCAAATAATATTGGAACATTTGGAGAGTTTGTTAAAATGACATGTATCTTGGGCCATACTCCAATCTCAATGATTTACAGGTTATAGCAGCAAGACCAGGGTACATAATTTTGCAGTTGTACCTTAAAAGTGTCCCAGGGCCTACAAGAAACTCATTTTAAACCCAAAGACACCTGCAGATTTAAAGTGAGGGGGTGGAAAAGAATTTACCATGCTAATGGACATCAGAAGAAAGCAGGAGTGGCAATCCTTATATCAGATCAATTAGATTTTAAGCCAAAGACTATAATAAGAGATGAGGAAGGACACTATATCATACTCAAAGGATCTGTCCAACAAGAAGATCTAACAATTTTAAATATCTATGCCCCTAACGTGGGAGCAGCCAACTATATAAACCAATTAATAGCAAAATCAAAGAAACATATCAACAATAATACAATAATAGTAGGGGACTTTAACACTCCCCTCACTGAAATGGACAGATCATCCAAGGAAAAGATCAACAAGGAAATAAAGGCCTTAAATGACACACTGGACCAGATGGACATCACAGATATATTCAGAACATTTCATCCCAAAGCAACATAATACACATTCTTCTCTAGTCCCATGGAACATTCTCCAGAATAGATCACATCCTCGGTCCTAAATCAGGTCTCAACTGGTATCAAAAGATTAGGATCATTCCCTGCATATTTTCAGACCACAATGCTCTGAAGCTAGAACTCAATCACAAGAGGAAATTTGGAAAGAACCCAAATACATGGAGATTAAACAGCATCCTTCTAAAGAATGAATGGGTCAACCAGGAAATTAAAGAAGAATTGAAAAAATTCATGGAAACAAATGATAATGAAAACACAACGGTTCAAAATCTGTGGGACACAGCAAAGGCAGTCCTGAGAGGAAAATATATAGCGGTACAAGCCTTTCTCAAGAAACAAGAAAGGTCTCAGGTACACAACCTAACCCTACACCTAAAGGAGCTGGACAAAGAACAAGAAAGAAACCCTAAACCCAGCAGGAGAAGAGAAATCATAAGATCAGAGCAGAAATTAATGAAATAGAAACCAAAAAAACAATAGAACAAATCAACGAAACTAGGAGCTGGTTCTTTGAAAGAATTAATAAGATCGATAAACCCCTGGCCAGACTTCTCAAAAAGAAAAGAGAAAGGACCCAAATAAATAAAATCACGAATGAAAGAGGAGAGATCACAACTAACACCAAAGAAATACAGACAATTATAAGAACATACTATGAGCAACTCTACGCCAACAAATTTGACAATCTGGAAGAAATGGATGCATTCCTACAGACATATAAACTACCACAACTGAGCCAGGAAGAAATAGAAAGCCTGAACAGACCCATAATCAGTAAGGAGATTGAAACAGTCATCAAAAATCTCCAAACAAACAAAAGCCCAGGGCCAGAAGGCTTCCCGGGGGAATTCTACCAAACACTTAAAGAAGAACTAATTCCTATTCTCCTGAAACTGTTCCAAAAAATAGAAATGGAAGGAAAACTTCCAAACTCATTTTATGAGGCCAGCATCACCTTGATCCCAAAACCAGACAAGGATCCCATCAAAAAAGAGAACTACAGACCAATATCCTTGATGAACACAGATGCAAAAATTCTCACCAAAATACTAGCCAATAGGATTCAACAGTACATTAAAAGGATTATTCACCACGACCAAGTGGGATTTATTCCAGGGCTTCAAGGTTGGTTCAACATCCGCAAATCAATCACTGTGATACAACACATTAATAAAAGAAAGAACAAGAACCATATGATACTCTCCATAGATGCTGAAAAAGCATTTGACAAAGTACAGCATCCCTTCCTGATCAAAACTCTTCAAAGTGTAGGGATAGAGGGCACATACCTCAATATTATCAAAGCCATCTATGAAAAACCCACCGCAAATATCATTCTCAATGGAGAAAAACTGAAAGCTTTTCCGCTAAGGTCAGGAACACGGCAGGGATGTCCGTTATCACCACTGCTATTCAACATAGTACTAGAAGTCCTAGCCTCAGCAATCAGACAACAAAAGGAAATTAAAGGCATCCAAATCGGCAAAAAAGAAGTCAAACTATCACTCTTCGCAGATGATATGATACTGTATGTGGAAAACCCAAAAGACTCCACTCCAAAACTGCTAGAGCTTGTACAGGAATTCAGTAAAGTGTCAGGATATAAAATCAATGCCCAGAAATCAGTTGCATTTCTCTACACCAACAACAAGACAGAAGAAAGAGAAATGAAGGAGTCCATCCCATTTACAATTGCACCCAAAACTATAAGATACCTAGGAATAAACCTAACCAAAGAGGCTAAGAATCTATACTCAGAAAACTATAAAATACTCATGAAAGAAATTGAGGAAGACACAAAGAAATGGAAAAATGTTCCATGCTCCTGGATTGGAAGAATAAATATTGTGAAAATGTCTATGCTACCTAAAGCAATCTACACATTTAATGCAATTCCTATCAAAGTACCATCCATTTTTTTTCAAAGAAATGGAACAAATAATCCTAAAATTTATATGGAACCAGAAAAGACCTCAAATAGCCAAAGGAATATTGAAAAAGAAAGCCAAAGTCGGTGGCATCACAATTCCGGACTTCAAGCTCTATTACAAAGCTGTCATCATCAAGACAGCATGGTACTGGCACAAAAACAGACACATAGTTCAATGAAACAGAATAGAGAGCCCAGAAATAGACCCTCAACTCTATGGCCAACTAATCTTCAACAAAGCAGGAAAGAATGTCCAATGGAAAAAAGACAGCCTCTTCAATAAATGATGTTGGGAAAATTGGACAGCCACATACAGAAAAATGAAATTGGACCATCCTTACACCACACACGAAAATAGACTCAAAATGGATGAAGGACCTTAATGTGAGAAAGGAAGCCATCAAAATCCTTGAGGAGAACACAGGCAGCAACCTCTTCTACCTCAGTCGCAGCAACATCTTCCTAGGAACATCGCCAAAGGCAAGGGAAGCAAGGGCAAAAATGAACTATTGGGACTTCATCAAGATCAAAAGCTTTTGCACAGCAAAGGAAACAGTTAACAAAACCAAAAGACAACTGACAGAATGGGAGAAGATATTTGCAAATGACATATCAGATAAAGGGCTAGTGTCCAAAATCTACAAAGAACTTAGCAAACTCAACACCCAAAGAACAAATAATCCAATCAAGAAATGGGCAGAAGACATGAACAGACATTTCTGCAAAGAAGACATCCAGATGGCCAACAGACACATGAAAAAGTGCTCCATATCACTCGGCATCAGGGAAATACAAATCAAAACCACAATGAGATATCACCTCACACCAGTCAGAATGGCTAAAATGAACAAGTCAGGAAATGACAGATGCTGGCGAGGATGCGGAGAAAGGGGAACCCTCCTACACTGTTGGTGGGAATACAAGCTGGTGCAACCACTCTGGAAAACAGCATGGAGGTACCTCAAAATGTTGAAAATAGAACTACCCTATGACCCAGCAATTGCACTACTGTGTATTTACCCTAAAGATACAAACATAGTGATCCGAAGGGGCACGTGCACCCAAATGTTTATAGCAGCAATGTCTACAATAGCCAAACTATGGAAAGAACCTAGATGTCCATCAACAGATGAATGGATAAAGATGTGGTATATATACACAATGGAATACTCTGCAGCCATCAAAAGAAATGAAATCTTGCCATTTGCGACGACGTGGATGGAACTAGAGGTTATCATGTTTAGCGAAATAAGTCAATTGGAGAAAGACAACTATCATATGATCTCTCTGATATGAGGGAGAGGAGATGCAACATGGGGGGTTAAGGGGGTAGGAGAAGAGTAAATGAAACAAGATGCGATTGGGAGGGAGACAAACCATAAGTGACTCTTAATCTCACAAACTGAGGGTTGCTGGGGGGAGGGGGGTTGGGAGAGGGGGGGTGGGATTATGGACATTGGGGAGGGTATGTGCTATGGTGAGTGCTGTGAAGTATATAAACCTGGCGATTCACAGACCTGTACCCCTGGGGATAAAAATATATGTTTATAAAAAATAAAAAATAAAAATAAAAATAAAATCAAATGTTAAAACCTGAAAAAAAAAGTGTCCCTGGCATTAGATAGACAAAGTTAAATTAGACAAAATAATTGTTTACAAAAGAGTTTATAATCCAGTGCAAAAGACTAGTTCTTATGGCATAATGTATTAGATATACTGTCTATAAACAGTGTGTTATGGTGCATGTTTTTGAGGAAAGGCATCCAAGTGTAGCCCTATGGCAGCCAGGGAGGCTTAGCAAATGTTTCCTAGAGGAAATGAAGGCGTGAATTTGGAAAGATAGTTTGGAGTTAATTCAATCAGTGGAAATAAGGGTAGAGAGGTCCAGGAGGCAGGGACATGACAAGTGGAGAAAATATTGTTATGGAGGCTTAGAGGTACAATGTTGCAGGATACATTTGGGAAACTGCAAATAGTGTGGAATGGTTGGATCAACATAGGAGAAGAGGAGTCTCTAGTGCTTCCTTCTGTAAAAGGAAACTCCTTTATCCCTAACATTTATGATTTTCTGTGCGTGTGTATGTTGGAGGGGGGCAGGAAGTAAAAGAGAATAACTCATTTTAATTAAGACCGGTAGAGTAGTAAGGCATGGGATATTAGATAGGTCCAATTTTCTCACAAAGCTGAACGTATGTCTGATTAATTTATCCATTTATTTGTTCATCAAAGGTTTATTAAACACCTGTTTTACATCAGGCTACATCCAGGGCAACGGATCCAGAAATTTTTAAGATTTTAATTTGAAAGTATTTTTAAATTGTTTTAATAATTATTATCTTAAATAATTGTTAAACAATTGTGAAACATATTTCACTTACCATAAGACCTCATTCTGAACAGGATCAATTTCAGAAAAACAATCAGTGACTGCGTTGAGAGGAAATTTTCATCTTCGCTGAGGGCAGTACATAATACTGGTCATAAGTGAAAACTCAGCACTAAATACCAACCACTGTTGTAAGCGCTTTTTATAAATTAACTCATTGATCCTTACAGACATCTTAGTACTATTACTTTTTACTTCTTTTAACCACTAGATACTCTTTTGACAGTGGTCTTTCCATATCAGTGACTATTTGTTACACTACCACGAAACAAAACAAAACAAAACAAAAAAAAACACAAAGAAAATTTCAGAGACCTTAAGAAATAGAGGTGGGGTCACTGAGACAGTTAAGCGTGGTAGGAGTAATTATTTTCTGCCAAATGCAAGTGTTTCCAACTGCCAAAGAATTTTTCTAGGGAAATGAGTCAAATGGCAGATATGGCTGTATCTCCCCAAATGAGTGGATATTGCAGTGAACTTGAGTCTCTTTGAACTTTGTCTACCGACATGAATAGCAACATCTTCCTAAAGGTAGGCTTGAAAGAATGCCATTATTACGCCATCCCAAGTGTAGTTTAAAAATAAATAGTACTAGAAACCAAAGAGTAAGCACATGCACGATTTATCATTTCACCCTCATGGAGTCAGCAAATATCTGGAACAAAATTTCCCTAAAGTGGCCAACAGAAGCAAGATGATAGTTTCTGTTCTGAATGTTTGAACGGAAAATTACCACTTGTCTTCCTAGACTTCCTCCTGCATTCAATGGAGGACCTGAAAAACATGGATGTCATGGGCCACGCTACTACATTCTGTGAGCTGGAGACAGACGAGGACTCTCCTGATGCCTCTGGATTCACAGGAACAATGATTTGGGAAACCTCAGCGCTCCCTTTGCCTTGCACATTCATACTTTCTCCCACATTCTATGCTGAAACCAATGTAGACAGGATCAGCTGAATCATGAGTATTCCAGATGACAACTCTTCTGATGCTTCAGTCTACCTCTTCATGTGATATTCCAAGTACTTTTTCCTAGAGAGGAACAAAAGAAATAGACACATAACATTCCAAGTCTGACTGACAGTTGAACTGAAAACAGATAGCTGTGAATTCGGCTCTCTTATCCCAGGCATGACCCAGGCTTCTGAGACTATGGTAGGGTTTGGGAGAGGGTCTGGGAAGATGACCAGCATCCTTGCTATTCTGGAAGGAGAACATATGCTAAGGAGTTATGTTATACATCCAGGGCTAACAAGCTAGATGGGGAAAGGCTTTGATGCTGTATTTAACATTCAAAAGAATAGATGCTGAAAGGTTGAAGACTAGGGAGGTTGTAAACCTCTCCCTACAATTTACTGTAAAATGGGTGAGATTGCAGTTACAAACAGAGTAACTATTTGAACAGTGCTTTACAATGAGGAAAAATGGCCGAGTGAATTAAAATCTCATGGCAGTTTGTTTAGCAGGCTTTTTAGATACGGTTGCTATTCATTTGATTGATTCATTATGTTAGGAGAACTGGCTGAACATCTATGATGTATATAGAAAGAACAGGTATAAAATACTTAAGAGGCATAAAATACTTAAGCCAGCCCATAGATCTACAGTTTAGTTGGGAAGATTAGATGCACCTGTGTGAAATGCAGAATACTGAGATAGTCAGGAATCCTGGAACCCTTGGGCATGGAAATCATTTTCTTCCTTCTCCACCACTATAAGGCAACACCCTGGAGAGTCACCAAAATACCTGGGACCAATGGAAGTTCCTAGACGCTTGCCACCCCAACATCACCTTTCTTTCCTATTCATGGACACTGAACACAGGTCTCAGTCCACATCTCCTCCACATTCAATAGCTCCTATCAATGTGTAAATATTCTTTTATCAACATCCTCCTTTATTTTTGCAAGTCCTTTTCTATCGGCTCTGGGGAAAATTAGTCCTTTCTCTCTCATTCTTTTTTCTCCCTCTCTTAATTTCCAGCTACATGCTCCAAATTAAACCTAAATGTGGCCAAGGCTTAAAATTAGGAGTTATGATGGCCTGGAAAAGTAAACTAATAAGTTACAAATAATTTTTTTAAATGCCATAAAATTCTAAAACCTTTGAAAATGCCTTTATTATCTCAACCAAAAATCCATCTATTTTCTCTACGTAGATACTGTTTTCTCTCTAGCACCAGCAGCCAAATTAAAAAATAAGTAAATAAAAATATATTCTTATATATTTCCTCTTTTTATTTGCTTACTAGAATTAGAACCACAATTTTTCACAACAGATGTATTGAAATGTACCACAGAATTCATCCTTTTAAAGTATATAATTCAGTAGCTTTTGGTATATTCACAGAGTTGTGCAACCAACCACTCTGCCTGATTTTAGAATATTTTCATCACACAGAAAGAAACTCCTTATTCATTAGTAGTCACTCCCCATTCCCTCTCCTCTCATCTGTCTCTATGAATTTGCCTATTCTGGATATTTCATAAAAATAGAATCATACAATATAGGGCCCTTTTGTCTAACTTCTTTCACTTAGCATAATGTTTTCAAAGTTCATCTATCTGGGACATTAAGGAGGGCATGTGATGTAATGAGCACTGGGTATTATGTAAGACTGATGAATCACTGAACTCTACCTCTGAAATTAATAATACACTATATGTTAATTAATTGAATTTAAATGTTAAAAAATTGAAAAAAAATAAGGTTTATCTACCTGTTCTATTCCTTTTCATGGCTAAATACTGTTCCATTGTAGGGGCATACCACTTTGATATTTCCAGTCATCATTCATCACTGATGGACATTTGGGTTGTTTCCACTTTTTGGCTATTATGAATAATGAATGCTACTAGGATCATTCATGTACAAGTTTTTATAGGAACATTTTTTATCAGTTTTCTTGGGTAGATACCTAAGAGCAGAATTTGTAACTCTGTTTGATGTTTTGCGGAATTGCCAGATTGCTTCCAAAGGGAAAGTATGGCTAGTGGCTGTGAAATTATATCTCATTGTGTTTTGTTGTTGTTGCTTTTTAAGTAGGCTCTAAGCCCTGCGTGGAGCCCAGTGTGGGGCTTGCACTCATGACCCCGAGATCAAGACCTGAGCTGAGATCGAGAGTCAGACACTTAACCAACTGAGCCACCAGGTGCTGCTCATTGCAGTTTTGATTTGCATTCCCCTAATGTTGAAATGACTATGTAAAGCAAGCATCTCTTCATGTGCTTATTGGTCATTTGTATATCTTCTTCAGATAAATGTTTATTCAAATCCACTGCCTATTTTAAAAATTGGGTTTTGTCTTTTTTTGTTGAGTTGTAAGAGTTTATTACATATTCTGAATACAAGTTCCTTATCCGATTTGTGATTTGAACATATTTTTTCCCATTCTGTGGGTTGTCTTTTCACTTTCTTGGTAGTTTCTTTTGAAGGAGACAAATTTTAAATTTTGATATAAGTCTGATTTATTTTTTCTTCTGTTGTTTGTGCTTTTGGTGTCACCTTTTTCTAGAACACTTTTGGCCTTCCAGATCCATTAACTAACTAAACAGACTTTTGAGAACCGACCTGTGAGCCCAGTTGGTACTTACAATCTCTTTGGAAAAATATACCTACAAGACCAACAAGGATGGTTCTTTCCTGTATATAATTATGGTGCAGACATGAGGCATTATAAGAGGTCAGAGGCTGGTGAGGCCCTTAAGCTAGAATGGTCAGGAAATTCTCTGGGGCAGGGAAGGGACTTGAGGGGGTTCTGGAAGACGGAACAGATAAAGCCAAAATAAAGTCAAATTATCTATCCCTCTTTTAGCTTGAGTTTAGAATACTTGAGAACTTAGTTCTTCAGATCAGCCACTGAAGTCTTCCATATCTGGTGCAAATGTGGAAAATATGAAGGAACAAAAAACTAGGTAACATCAATAGGCAGCCATAACATCAACAGACAGCCACTGAAGACCACGGTGGTCCCTTCAGCCCCTTAGCAAGATCAGCTATATTTTCCTTCTGGTAGCCAAGACACAAGCCTGTTTGGAGGCTGCAGGGCCATGCTGGGCCATGCGTAGAGCAGAATAAAACCTGGTACTCTTAGACCATTTTGGTGGAAGGACGACTAAGGATAATGTGGGGCAAAGGCCTGTCATTCCATGGAAGGGTTTGAACAGACAAAAATGCCCTGAGCTTACTGAGATTTAAAGCGATAGGTTAAAGCGTTTTGAAGAAGTTAACCTTACGAGGTTATGGCAGCTTGGAAGAAATCTCACGGAATGAGGATAAAGGATGGCGGAGGGGTGAATCTGAAGCATGGGGGTGAAGTTGTCTGTTCTGCCCGATAGCAAGGAGTTAGACACAAATGTGGGGCGCCTGGCTGGCTCAGTGGGAAGAGTTTGTGACTCCTGATCTAGAGGTTGTTGAGTTTGAGCCCCACATTGGGTACAGAGATTACTAAAAAAGAAATAAAAACTTAATTTAAAAAGCAAACAAACAAACAGACACAAGTTTCACTGTTTGCTTTTTGGTTTGTATGGAAATGTCCCTGTCAGAACGGCTGGGTCCAAGCAGCAATGACCAAATATCATGAGCGCCATCTCTCTCTCTGCCTGTCAGCATCTGAGAGAATAAGGAACTGTTTGCCTCTCCCTGTCTCACTGCCAGACTTCCGCTGCCTCCACAATTTGTAAAAACAGAAATTATATCTGTCTAAACATTTTACATCTCACTAGCTCTGCATTTCCTGTTCTATTTGACCAGTGCCTCCCCTCCAACACACTTACCCCTGTCCCCTTTGGGAGCCCAGTAAATATTTATTGATGAGGAAGATAATCACTAAAAATATGTTCCCATCACTGGGATCTATCTCCTGCCACTCAACTGTTCTAAATCCGTGAGAGCCCCTTCAAAGATGTGTTCCCTTCATGTAAAAAAAACCCCAAAAAACGAAAAAAAAAAAAAAAAACAAAACCAAACAAACCCAAAACCAAAACCGTAACTTTCCATTCCGCCTTCTCTGAATCTGGGAAGACTGATTCTGAGACAGGCTCCACTTACCCATCCACCCTGCTGCTGGACCCAGGGTGAGAAGTTGTCTTTCAGGTACTTGGTTCCAAAACCCAGCACCCTGTTCATGGGGTGGTTGTCGATGGCAGTGAGCTTGGCCGTGACGTCTATTGCAAGGGCAGCCTTAAAGCCCCGAGCTCTGACCTCTGATTCTCCCCTGGTGTCCACACCCCTTAAGAAGTGGTCTGTGATGGTCTTGAAAACAGGGTAGGACAGCTGGTCCTGGAAGCTGTTCATTAAAACCTTGTTGTTCTTCAACTGCGTACAAGAAGAGATGCGATCAGTGAGCAGCCTGGCCCCGGGGAGCAGACCTGAGCTCTGCAGTGGCCACCCACACACTCAGTGGGAAACCCTTGATTCCAGTCATACAGAAATTTCTTAGTGAGCGAGGACTCCATGTTTCCTTAGAAGTCCTCTAGTTCTGTCTCTGGGGAATGCTAAGCTAAGCAGGTTCTCAACAAATATTGTTTCTAAAAGGAATATTCTGGGGGTGCATCTGTTGTTATATAAAGATTCTGGTGGAGCAATGTTCTTGATGTGAGCCCAGCCCACTCCCCCCAACTTCCGTGAGACACAAGGAGCCTGTCCGAATTACAAATCTGAAGCAAGAAGAGCTAGTGTCCTCACCAACAAGAATGGACTGCTTTTGACCAGGGACCCAGTGGAAGCAGCTTGATTCAAACCCTAGTGGGTAGCTGGAAGCTTGCGCCTGCCACAACAATAGGGAAATCAAATGCCAGAAAGAAACATCTTTCGCAGAGGGCCCTGGCCTGTCCTAGCATTGCTCCTTCGGGTGGCCCTTGGCTCTGCCTGGCCTCTCCGGCAGGGGCTGGAGGAGGCCGTATGGGCTCTCGGGGATGAATGGCTCCTGCAGCATGGACAGAGTGGCCCTCCCCATCGTCACTGTCCCGGCCTGGTGGGAACCCCCACCCACACGGCAAAGTCAGACCCTCTGTGTGTTCCTACACATGTCTGCTACTGGGGAAACAATCATGTTCTCTACATAAAGAATGGAAAGTATCACCCCAAATCATCAACAAAAGTGAGATTTTTAAAAAGTAGTGATTTATGGGGTGAAAAGGAAAGCATTTCTCTCCCTCTACCATGGAGGTCTGCTTCCTACCACCTCCTGTTCCTTGCCTCCGGGACTCAATGCAAGTCACCACTTAGGGAGGCTGGGAAGGAGGAGGCCATGAGAAAGCCACAGAATCTTCAAGCTGTAAAGAATCTTCAAGGATTCCAGTAGGTCCCTCCCAGGTCAAGTCCTGTGCTGCTGGCTGGTCATCGGCATCTCCTTGAAATTCTCAAGAAGCTCATTCCTTCACAAGTCAGGCTTGAGTGCTAGAAAGTTCATTCCTAACATGGGGAAATCAATCGCCCCATAATTCCTATCCACTGATGTTGGTTCTGGAGAAACATAGGCAGGCACGTTCGATGTTCTTTCTCTGCACTCCTGTTATCCTCTACTTGTGGGCCTGGAGCTCACACACCCTGTTCTCTTTTCTTTATGCTGTGTCCCTGGTTCTCTCCGTTTCTCATTCTGCACCACCCTGGTCATGGTCTGCTGGGCACACCCCTGACAGATGCATGGGGAGAGGAGCGGCTGAGCATGTCGGGACAGGGGAAGTCTGGCTGGCCAGTTAGTGCTTTTCCCCTCCTGCACAAGCCTCATGAGGCCAGACTTCCTCCCACTGATCCTGGTAGGAGGAGGAAATGGGTCCACAGGCCAGTCCCTGACCAACACACCCTAGAGACTACTCGACAGTCTATGGGGAAACACACGGAACTCCCCTCTGATGACAGTGGGTTCCCACTCACCAGCTCTGTATCTGAAGGCACTATCACTCCTTCCTGACTTGAATGATGTAGTCTCGACTTCTAAGCAGCAGGAAGGCCAAGTTCTCCAAGTAACACTTAACCCGCCTCCCTGGCCAAATTGCTGAGAGAGACCTTGAGCAGAGAACAGCCTGACCACTTTCGGGGGAGATTTCGGGAAGGACTCCAGCTTTGGAGCCAAGCATGGGACATTAATATCCAGACTGTGGGGCGAATGCGAGAGTCTGAACTTCCCCAAGGATCAGTTACATGGGGAACTAGATTCATAATTCTATTCAGCAAATTTTAATTTATTGGTGTCTTTTCTTGCAATAACAAAGTTACATTTTTCATTTCCAAAAATTCCAGGGAGGCTCCAGAAGGTTTACTTATGTTTTCCAAAGTGATTCATTTTTGAGATGCTGCCAGCATGAAGAATTTTCACTCCAAGGGAAATAAAATTTAGGACTAAGTGGAAACCAGAACTTGCAAAGGAATACAATCTGGAGTACGATTCCATTCTCTGTCCCAGCGCGTGGGCACAGAAAGAAATCACTTTAGTTCAAGAAGCTCCATACCTCTTTTTCCAACCGATCCCCTGAATATTTCAGCAGCTCAACGATTTTCGCTATTATCTGATCTTCTCCATCTGTCGGGGGGAAATTCCAGTTATTTTTTTTTTTTAAGAAAAAATATAATCTTAATTTTTTTCTCTCCCCAGGGACAATACGGGTAGCCAGATTAGGGACTGAGGGAGACACGTGCTTTGTAATTCTTAGCAACTTAACTCTTACCCCGCCTTGTCTGACAAGGCACAAACTACTCCAGCCACTGTCTCCTACAGACCTCTCCTTTCCTTTCTTCTTTTTTCCCCTCAGTGCCCCACTTCTCACCACAAAATGTATCATATACTTATTGTAAGAATGGCGTTGAAGCTGTTATTTCCACTGCTCAGGATCCCATATCTGAAAATATTCAGGAGAACTTTCTCTCTGGTCTGTAGGATTCTCCTCAGTAGATGGTGATTTTTCCATGTGGACACCATAAATTCCATTTGGTTTATATTCCCCCTTTTGTGATGCTAGAAACTGTAGAGCCAAATTTGGGGCTCCCATGTGAGAGAGGGTACAGTCTTCCTCGCCTGCATTTTGGGAATTAAACTTATTCCTAAACCCACCTTCTTTCCCCGCGAGTGTTTTCATTTTCCATTATCTTTCAAGTGGTATTTATTTTCTCTTACTAACAATGTAAACTTTGCTGTCTTTACAACCAGGCGGGGTAGAAATAAATAAAATGATTAAGTTCTCCCACCCCAAAGGCTAAAGTGGCAGGTGGAGAGAGAGCCGGCTACAGTTTCTGTGGTGTAGATGTCAGAATGGCGGAGTGAGGGGGAGAGGAGTATGATTTTTCTCATCTCAAAACAAGCTACCCACGAGGGAAAATGGCTGTTGCCCCAGAACAGGATCCAAACAGAGAAAAGCTAGTGACTGATCCAGCGGCACTTATCATTAATGGCACCATCTCTGAAGTCGTGGACTGCTCATTTTTGTTCCAGATAAGAGGGAAAGGGAGGCCAGGACATCCAGCCAGCCAGTCCCATCCCAAGAAGGACCAGCGAAAGGCAAGGTAGGCAGAAGTCTGAGACTCAGGTCTTGCGGGAGAAGCAAGAACGAGGGTCTTCATGGCCTCTGTGGAGTTTTTCTCTGATGCTGCGGCCCCTGTAACTGGGGCCCCAATTTCTCATGTGCTTAGGGGACAAGAGCCTTAGCTTGGGCCTGGCGCGGGGTATCACTTTATGTCACCCAGACGGCCAGGGGATTGCAGGAAAGTGGAGACACCTTTCTTCTCAGTGCACCCAGAGGGAACCCCTCTCCTCCAGCCACTCACCCTGAGCCCCGCAACACAGCAGGATGCAGGCGGACCCAGCACTCTGCTTCCAAGGTGGGGAGATGCCGACACCAGCTCCTGGCATGTGGGCACACTGCCCACCCAGGGGGCCGCCTCTGCCTCAGCCCCAATGCCGCAGTTTGGGGAAAGGGAGCCCGGAGCAGGGACAGTCGCCCGGGAGGGAAAGTAGGACAGAATGTCTCTTCTTGGGGCACTTGGTTGGCTCCCTTCGCCTCCAGGATTCCCGCCCCTCTGATGGGAACTGTGGTCCCAGCTCCCACTCTGGTTCTGCTGGCAACGGACCCCGTCTTGGTCACCTCTGGGTTCTGCTTCGTGTGCTGCCCCAGACCTGGTGACTGATGATGCCTTGCTTTTCCCTAGGAGCCCCCGGCAGTGTTAGAAAACCGCGTGCGGTTCCATCAGCAAATAGGCCATCGCCCTGGACCGTTGCTCACAGGACTGAATCGAGGACTGCTTTGCCCTCTGCGGGCAAGGTGCCCACTTTCTACTTCCTCCCCTCCCTCAGGAGGAGAATTCTCTTTGTACTTTGCAGTGAACCTGGCCCGCTGCTTCAGAGTGTGGCGGGCGCGCTCCACCTGTCCGGGGCTGGTCTCTCCAGGGCTAAAGGTGGGGGCCTCCAGCACGGTGCTGTCGTGCTTTTGGTCCAGGGCAGCGGAGAGGCCACAGAGATCTCTGCTGGTTAAATCAGAGATGCCCAGCGCTGGCTACAGACATTGGCGCTCATGCACCTCTGCCCGCCAAACCCTCCACCCGACCCAAGTATGCGGAAGGAAGTTCCTACCTTTCTTAGTGCTGGTGGCTTGAGGCTGGAAACAGAGGCCCTGGCGGCGGATGAACTGATGAACAAAACTCCCTTTGGACTTGCAGCTTCCTACCGGGTCCTGGAGCTCTTCGGGCGGGGGCCAGGAATAAACAATTTCGGCAACGCGATGGGCAATAGAAGCAACTTTGGGGTCCACAGCTGAAACCAGACCAAACGGGGCTGAGTGGCCCTTCCCAGGAGAACTCTGTCTAGCTCACTAGTATCCACAGTCGCCCCAAGTGAAAAGGTCCGCCCAGAGGAAGAGGAAACTGCTGGGCCAGTAGGGTGCTTGTTGGGGGTGTGGGGAGTATGGGGGGGTGTGGGGGCTGTGGGGGGTGGGGGGAAGCCATTCTTCAGAAAGCACTGGGAATTGCATGGCAGAGGCTGGGGTAGGGGCGGAGTGCACCAAGGAATGATTTGCTGCCTTGAAACAATTGCCCTTCTGCACCCTCTTTTTGAAGTCTTGTAAAATTAGGGTCCCCTTTCCCTTCTGCAAAGGAAGAAACACAAAAGAAAGTGCTTAGTTCTTTGTTTGAGGGAATTTTCTTTATGTTTTTATTTTTATTCTTTTTTTTTTTTTACATCCTTTATACCTTGGGGAGTGGGCCCCTATGTGCATAGGAGGGCAGTTAATAGTCTGACAAGCCTTTGGGGGTTGGACACTGGGAAAGAGAAGAGGAGAAATATCCCTTTCTCAGGCTATATTCATCACTCAAGCCCATTATCAAGTGAACACCGACATCTCCTTGCCCTTGCACATACGGTCATGCGTCTTCTCTCTCCTCCCCGTCTAATGGGAAACATCCATTTAATGCCAAACAGGTAAACCAGGATGCATGAAGTGTGCTACGATCCATGCCTTTTAAGCATTTATCACCCAGGAAGAGAGTTATGTATTTGCACACGTAACTACGGAATAAAGTGTGTGAGGACAGTAAGGTTCAAGTGGCAGTTGGCCCCTGAATGTCCTCGCCTGTAAAGGACCAGTCAGCTCTGTCTCTGGTCAGGGATGGGGGCTGGTGGGGGTGGGCAGGTGGTATTGCCGAGTCATTTGGGACGAACATTTTCGTCCCATTGGTGATTTGTCACTAAGTTCTTAAGTTTTAGAAATCTGTGGAAGCTCTGTCTCTGATGCCATATGGAGTGAATGGGATATTTGAAAAAACGCTACTATTCAATTCACACACTTAAAGAAAGGAACAGAGTGGGGGTTTGGCTAGAAGGCTGGCATGTCCAGGGGAACTCCTGGTTTGTACATCAGGGTGGTGAGAGAGGCAAAGCCTGGGTCCCAGGAGGGATAGTGTCACAATTGTAGCTTTGATATCCTGTAGGTGATTTCTGACCCTCTTGCCCTATATGCTTCATGGGCGCTTTGGTTCTCTCCCTTCACGCTCTGGTCGTCTCTGGAAGGCCATGGGAATGAATACTTCGTCCACAATGCCTTCCTTTAAAGAAAAGCATAATGGTTTTCTTAAAAAGCCACATTTTTCATGCTTGGCCCATTGGCTTCAAAAACAGATGAGAGAATTGAGAGAGAAGAATGAGAGAGTCAAGGAGAAAAGGACCAATGCTTTTCCTTCCCGTTTTAACAATCAAACCAAATATATAATTTTCACCTTACTACTGCCCAACCAGCTTCCTCTGGAACACTGGCTGTGCATGACCCCCAGCAGGGAGATGGGAAAAGGCTGAATCCTGAAGCCAGTGGGAGCATTCCCTTGTGTCCACAGAAGGTGGGAAAGAAAAGCTTGTGTTTTCTTCCTCTGTAACCCTGGGCAGCCTGTCTGCAGTGGTCAGAGCGTGGCCCAACTTTCCCTCACAGGAGGCAGAGGAAGGCCTCAGAGGTGGTCCGTCCTCTTCCCCCAGCCCCCATTCTGTGGCAGGGCAATCAGGAGACTACTGGAGGACATGGAAATAGGGACTCTGACTCGCCTTCTTATGGCATATCCACTTCTATGAACTGGGTGACACGGGGTGACGGAAGCAGGTGACATATGTGCGGGTTAGAGGATAAGCAAACACGTTTCGACTCGGAGGAGCCAGCTCTAGTTGAGACTCCCATTTTCAAAACCTTAATTTTAAACACTGAGCAAAGAAAGGATTCCCTTCTTCTTAGAGCTCATCTCATCTGATAGGCTGGGAAAACTGGATGGGGGAGGGAGAGGACGGGAAGGCTGCCCCTCCTGTGGGGTCTGTCTGGGGGAGGTGTCACTGTGGCGCTAAGGATAGAAAGAGAGCACAACACCGTTGAGAGGGTGCCAGTTAGCCTTTGGCCTGAGGTATTTGTGTGTTTTTAATTAAAAAAAAAAAAAGGATTTATTTATCTGAGAGAGAGAGAGAGAGAAAGAGCGTGGGTGGGGGAAGAGGCAGAGGGAAAGAGAGTCTACAAGCAGATTCCCGACTGAGTACAGAGCCTGACCCAGGGCTGGATCTTATGACCCTGAGCCCAGATTAAGAGTTCCACTCTTAACCAGCTGAGCCACCCAGGCACCCCCTGAGGCATTTGTTTCAAATAGAAGGGGTAGGGCATTTCTCTATGATTGAGACCGCTATTTCCTTCCCTGTATTCATTTCCTTCATTCTTAGAAAGACCCCCCCGCCGAGGTGTCACAGGCAGCTGAACAGACTACATTTCCAGCTTGCCTTACATTAAGGAGTGGCCAACGAGATACAAGAAAAGTTGAGCACGGGTTCAAGAAAGCTCTCTAAAAGGGAATGGAATTATCTAGAAAGAAGACATCCTTTTGTGCCTCCCAACCCCCACTTGTTTCCTCTTCTTCCTGCTTGGAAATGTACAGATGATGGCTGGAGTCCCTGTAGCCACCTTGGAATACAAGGTGATTTTGAGGTTGGAAGCCACTAGCCAAGGAATGGCAGAGTAAGACTCTCTTAACAATGGTTGGAGCTGCTGCATGAGCCCTGGGCTGCCAAACTTTGGTCTTCTCTTATGGGCGAGAAAAAATAATCTCTACATTGTTGAAGCCACAGTTATTTGAATTTTCCACTCTATGTATCCGAACCTAATTCTACCTGTAGCATTCCACATGTAGCAAATTCTAGCTGTGGACAAACAAGGGTTCAAAGTCAAAGAAACTGGCTTTGTATTGATGCCCATTTTTCTACCTCCTAAGACCTCTCACTTCTAGACTTTGATCTTGGGACATAAGATTACAGTTCTCGCTGGGGCCTGGTGTCTAACTCCTGGACATGGCAGCGAGGTCTAAATTGTGACCTTCAGTTAATAGAACCCAGGTGACACGACTGCTAAGCTCTGATTTATACATGGCAAGATAGAAATAGAACGTGAGGCTTTCTTGAGTCATGTCCGATGTAAAACCAACTAACCACCCACATAATTCACCAAACCAGAAAGCGGGCAAGAGAAAGGTGGGAAGGGAGGATACACTGAATGTAAGTGTCTACAGCAAGGGCTCCTTAGGAAGTAATCATTTCTGCTATTTCTGAGAATATCTATATAAAGATTTTGAAATTTTAGTAAATAAGGTTAAATGGCACTTCGGCACTATGGAAATACAGAGTGTCTTTTATCTCAGGAAACCAGAAGATTAGAGTCTGTAAATGCTCTGTCTGCCTCTCGGTGAAGTCCAAGGGAGAGCAGAGCAGAAAAGCCTATTGAGGTGTCTCCAAACTGTTAAGGCCTGAGAGCTCGGCTACCATCTCCAGCAGGAGCTTGCTGTACCACTGGGGGGATGGGGAGAGGAGACGTTCCCCAGGAAATCTCACCCCTAACTTCTGTTCTAAAATGTTATTAGTCTGTGGGACTTACAAAAGTTTGGGAAGTAAAAGTTTCCCCTATCATAGTGAGTGATGGAAAACTGCCAAATGTGGGCGGATTCCCCAAGTAAACCGGGACAGTCACACATTCTAAAATTGAGACATTACTGCCACCTGTTGACTAATTATTGACACGATAACCCAGCAATCAAAGCCCACAGGAGAGGGAGTTTCTTCCAAAATCTGGGCAGCTGGCACTGGGTATTATTGAAGGGCAAGAAGATGCTTGTGCCCAGGTTTGTGGATGAAGGGCAGCTTTCTCTGCTGAAGCCCTTCATGAAAATGCTTTATTCAATATAATGTATTTTGTCACACTGAGGAAAGGTTTTGTCAACATGCTTCTCAGCTGGGGCACCTGGGTGGCTCAGTAGGTTAAGCGTCTGTCTTTGGCTCAGGTCATGATCCCAGGATCCTGGGTTCGAGTCCTCAGTGGGGCTCCCTGTTCAGCAGGAAGTCTGCTTCTCTCTCTCTGTCTCTACCCTCCCCAGTGCTTGTGGTATCCCTCTCTCTGTCTCTCTCTCTCTCAAATAAATGAATAAAATCTTAAAAACAAAAACCAAAAAAACCAGGGGTGCCTGGGTGGCTCAGTCGTTAAATGTTTGTCTTAGGCTCAGGTCATGATCCCAGTGTCCTGGGACCAAGCCCCGCATCAGGCTCCTTGCTGAGTGGGGAGCCTGCTTCTCCCTCTGCCTTCTCTCCCTGCTTGTGTTCCCTCTCTTGCTGTCTCTCTCTCTCTTTGTCAAATAAATAAATAAAATCTTTAAAAAAACAAAAAACGAAACAAAATAAAAAATTACCCAAAAAAACCCCAAAATGCTTCTCAGTCGTTGGGTTTTTGTTTTGTTTTGTTTTTAAGAGTCCCTTATACTTTGGAAAGTATTTTTGTATGTAGCTACCTGATCTTTCCATTCACCACCCGAAGATGTAGGGAGGGTGGGATACCCCAACATACAGTTGGAAACAGAGGCCCAGAGAGGTGGGTTGACTTACCTCAAGAAGAACGGCAGCCTGAAGCCCTGCTCAGGGCTCTTCCTTCCATCCTGGTCTCTGGCACAGATGATCAGGACTTGGGGCAGCAAGCCTATCTCTAGCCAGCAGAGCCAGACACCAGTCCTGCCACCCTTCACTGACAGCCTCCCACTTCCTACTCAGTCTTGAGAAAAGCAGGGCAATTATTATTGAATATCAAGAAGTTGGGAAACTGAGACACAGTGGAGTACCCTGCATCAGGCCACATTACCAGCTGGGAGGAGAGAAAATACCACATATACAAGGAAGGGAAAGATTTTCCTGTGGGAGAGCAGCGGCCCCCAAAGCCTACCTTCCTGCTCTGTGCGCTGTCCCACGTTAGTGAGGGACCTCGACCACTGCTGACTTTGAGGACCATCCTGACGTTCCGCGGTGGCACCCTGCAAAACGAATATGGCTGAGTTCTGTGCATCTTCCTCCTTCTCGATTACTCCAAAGAATGTCCTCCAGGAAGACTTTTTCTTGGCCAGGTCTAGGGGCTTCTCCCTGGATGGAGAATTTCTGCAAGGCCATGACACCTGTGTCCATGATTCGTTTGCTGACCAACCCCCCTGCTCTTTGATGGACAAACTTCTTATTCTCGGCAGCTTTGGCGAGAAGATGGCAGGGGTGTTCTTGAAGACATGGTGTTTGGTGTAGAAGGCCAGGATTTTGAATTCTATGCTGTTTGTGTCATCATCGTCTAGGGGGATCTCCTCCAGGTCACAGGCACTGGCGGTGCACATGGTGGGCCTGGAACAACAAAGTCCACACGTGACCTCTCACCCATGGGCGCACTGCTCTCTGGGGGTCAGGAGGCACAGGAGTGGAGCTCCACCCGCATTTACTGAGAACCTACTCTGTGCAGGGAGGCAAGGAGTCCTCAGAAATGGAAAATACAGGATTCTCTGTGAAAGATGAGGACAAGAGAAGGTACACAGACAGCTCCACACAGAGAGAGTGGGCGAGGAGCTGGATCAGAGGTGCAGATAGCCTGTGTGGGGAGGAACAGACAGCTCCCAAGAAAGGCGAGCCAAGTCTCCTCCACAGACTGGAAGGGGTTATGCGGGTGGGTGGGACAGGGTGGGCAGAGGGCAGACTCTGGTTAGTCTAGGATGTGTGTGAAGAGTGGCGAGAGAGCTGGCAGAACACGTGTTTCCTGAAGAGCTGGGGCTGAGGGTTGTGGAGGGACAGGAAGTGACATGGCAGTAGGCCCAACCATGGGGGCCTTCGACTGTGGGGCTGAAAGCTCTGCTTGGTCTTAGTGGATCTGTCGGCACACCTCAAAAGGAGACCTAGAACATGGGAAGCAGTTAAAGAGCTTCTTGGGGAGGGTAGGTGGACAAAGAGAGAGGCTGACTCAGCCAAGGGAAATATCTGGGGTTTCTGACTCTTCCCATTCCCTTACTTCTTCCTTTATCCTCTGCCTTTGCTTGTTTAGGTCTGAGTCCCACAGATCTGCTTCAGGTAACTGAACTTAAGTAAAACTTGAGGGCTATGGTGTGAGGTGGGGGTCATGACTACTTTGCTCCCTCCTCCCTTCCGTTCCCTCATACCCACTTCCTCTTCCAGGACTTGACCATTGACAATCTTTCTTCCCTCACCATCTCCCAATGTCACGGTCACAATGCACCACAGTGAAACCTTTGCTGTCTGAAGTTACTTCAATATCTCTGGAAAGCATATGCTCCTTCCTGCTCTTCCACCTCTGTCCCCCTCCACCCGACATTCTTCCCCTCCCCTGCTATGTGGTCTCACAGGCCATCAGTTTGCCCCCCTCCTGGTGCGGGTCTTAGTCACCCCCATTAGGATCCTTGCCGAAGTTTGTCTAGGTTTATTCTCTTCTCCTCAACACAAGATAAGCCCCACAGGGCAGGCATGTCAGTGTGTTTTACCCCAGCCATAGGCCCCTTGCCTACAATAGGGACCACAATCATTTGACAATGATTGGTGGAATTTTTTTCCTATTTTGAGAGACTGGGCTCAGATCCTGGCTCTGTCACTCTACGCCTCAGTTTATCACGTTTAAATGGGGATGATAACAGTACTCATCTCATGAACAGTACCCATCTTATGAAGATTAAGTTAGTTAATATTTGTAAAGCATTTAGAGTAGAACTTAAGTGTTTGAACAAGTGCCTTATTAAGTCTTACAGTAAAGAATATTTATGAAACTCACTTTGGGCACCACTGTTTTAATTAAGCTCCAAGAGGATTATGGATGGTATGGGGGGAGTGCAGTATTTGGAATGAGAAGTTGGGTTGAAGAACTGCTTTTTTACTTACTGGCAAAGGGATTGAGGCAAATCACTAACTTCACTGAGGTGTAGTTTTCCTATTTATAAAATGTGACTCATATTATCTAACTCATTGACCATGGAGGAGGACGAATTACAAACTGTGAAAATCCTTAAAACAAGTGTTGATCTGTACAGAGTAGTGGTTTACCTGTTGGTTTCTTGAGTTAGATAATCTAGTTCACATCCTGGATCATCTGTTTACTAGCTGTGTGACTGGGTGTATTTCTTAATTTATTTGAGTCTCCATTTTCCCATCTGCAAAATGGGGATTAAAAAAATCTGCTTCATCAACTTTGTATGTGGATAAAAAGAGTTAGTGTGTGTAAATCACTTAAAATAGTGCATGGCAGATGATAAATGCTCCAGAAATATTGGCATCCATTATTTATAACAATTATATAATTGTAATAGGTTACTTTTTTTGTTAAGTAAATATTAACGTTTATAAAAGCGAGCTCATCAAATTCAGTTAAAACTAACTAGTGACATACAAATATTAGGTTTAGTACAAAAGCCACGCTCTTCCTATAGGTATACACACACACACACACACACACACACACATATCCGTATGTATATAGTATGTGTGTTTACAAAGTATATAAAGTATATATTCTGTAAGGTATGAAGACTGGGACCTGGCCGTCTTTCCCAGCACCCAGCATAATGCCTGACACATGGTAAGTTCCCCAAGAATATTTTTCGATGAATGAACGAGAAATGATTATAGAGCTGCCAGATAACATACAGTACATCCTATTAAATTTGAATTTCAGATAAACAAATATTTTTTAGTATAAATATGTCCCCAGTATTGTACAGATCATGTTTATTATATATTAACTTAAAAAATATATATTTGTTTTTTTATCTGAGATGCGAACTAAACTAGGCGTCTTGCATTTTTTTTTTATGCAGATCCGGCAACTCTATGAATGAAAGATGTAGCTTAGAAATAGTGAGAACTGAGACCCACGTAAGCGGCTGCTCCCCAAGGGAGGTGGGGAGAGTGAGCAACCTGAGACAAGAAAGAGAAGGAGCCAGAAAGGGTGAGGTGAGAACAGGACAGCTGGCAGAACTGGGGCAGCAGCCGCGGTGTGGAAGGACCTGTGCCCAGGAAAGAGCCCAGAGCTGGACTGTGTCAGGACAGAAGTGAGGTTTTAAATGTGAAGCTTCCTTTAGAATTGGGCAGCCCGGGAAGGCTCTAGGCAGGAAATACACTCGGGTTCTGCAGGAACTCTGTCCTGGATGGGAGGGTGAGCCCCCTCTTCAAGCCGTACTACCTATGCTTCCAAAGACACCCGCACTCTTCTGATGTGGTGTGAGGACTGGAAAGTTGTGTGTGAGTATGTGTGTGTGCGTGCACATGTGTGATACTGAAGGGGAGAGGAAGGGTCTGACTTCTTTAAGAAACAAGTTTCTTAATGAATGATGATGCAGGAGCAACATCAGAAAAGGGGAAAACCAATGAGGTCAGGATGGGGCACACGGTCTTTCCATTTTGTGAAAGAGGAGATTTTTGTCCTGTGCCAGGCATGGAAAGGAATGGAGTACCTGGCTCCCACTGTTGGCGGCCAAAAATGAGAGAGATGCAGAAAGCACTGCAGGGCTCATTCCTCTGGAATGGCCCGGATGAGGCAAGCCCACCGTGGGGTGCGGTGTAGGGGTGTGCTGTGACCAGGGCCTGGAAAGCACTGGGCTGGTACCAAACAGTGGACACGTCAAAGTATGGGTTCCAACACTTGAAATGCATTTAGCAAGCGTAGGTTTTTCTCCCCCTACTGATCTTCACGGTACACCAAGGGAGGGCTACTTGTTAACTTTGTAGCTAAGTCTTACTTTAAAGCAGATGGGACAGTTTATCTCTGGATAAACTAGTGGGTCCCTACTGCTCTCTGCCATGCCTGTTGAAAGTAAAAGCCCAACTTTAGGGTTTACGGAAACTTACACCATAAATGTTATGCACATATATGGAAAGGAAGCCCGGCTCCTCCCCCCGCAAGCCCCCCACCGGTGGATCTGACCCAGAATCTGGGGAGTCTGCTGCCGAAGAACACCTGTGAGGCTTATGCTAACTCTGTGACTCAGGGGACACAAGGCTACGCCTTCTACCCTCTGTTCACATCCTCATCGGGAACAAACGACGGCAAACCTACATTCAAAAGCAAGGTCAATGAGCTTTTGGGGTTGGCGTCTATTCCCTCTCTCACAGATCCTCTCCCCTGCAACCTCCTAAATACCCCCAGGGTCCCCGCCACCTGGCCTTGGGGCCACCTATGGAGCTGGGAAGGTAGAACCTGCTGACAAGCTCCTTCAGCTGTTACCACCAGACCCGATTTGGGGATTTTTAGCAGTGGATTTGCTTGTTGAGATCAGATTTCACTTCCCTTCTCTGTGGCAGGTCATGGAGAAGCATGCGTGCTTTGGGGTTCCAGCAGAGGCTGCCACGATGAGTGCCCAGAGCAAACTGGGCAGCATTCGGCTCAGCTGGCTGTGCCCAGGCCTGGCGGGGTGCGGGGCAAGGGGAGGGGAGTCACAGGCGCAGGCTCAGCAGAACAGCTGACTTCCACTGCTCTGGACAGACAGGTGAGCCTCAGCTGTCACTCACGACCATAGACATTCACCCCCAGTGGGGTCTCCCAGACCAGGTTGTCAGCTAAATTATGTCTGGCTGCCCTGAGCCTCCGGCCAGAACCCTATGCCCCCTGGGCCCTTCAGGACCTGTTTGTCTTTCTTTCCTTCCTCCCTGAACTTCAGACTTCCTAGTACCTCCATGCCGCTCCCCAGTTTGTCATTTCTGAGAATGACCTGCTTTTTAACCCTAAGGGTGAAACGAGGTAATATGTCTTAATTTTTCCCACCAGAGAAACTAAACTGAGAGTGCCTCGGGGCACATTAGTGAAATAAGATGAGGGGCCTGGACTCAGAGAGGAAGGAGCTTTCTAGAGGGGAAGGAGAGGGCTTGCCCATTTTAGCGGGGGCTTGTCCTCAGGGAAGCCAGTGGGGGTCAAGCCAGAGCTAGACCACTTTCCCACCAGGTGCTCGGAACTCTGGGTTCAAACCCATGGATTCCTGCCTTCGGCCCCATCCCTGCTCTGGGGGAGGGAGTCAGCATCACCACGGGCTCTTGGCCACCCACCTGAGCTCATGTCATCACACATGCTGTCATACACTCAATGAGAGAGGGCTGCATAATATTAAAAAATGAACCAGTCAGTTATGTATGCTTAACTGCACTCTCTCAAACCTTCTGTAGCAAGGAGAAATGAAAGAGAAACCTCATACAACTTTTCTCTCCTTTTCCTGGAAATAACCCCATGTTCTTAGCTGTCATTTTGCTTCCCGAGACTAACATGATAAGAAGTTTCTAGTAATCCCGGTAAACCTCTCCCCTGCTTAGATTTGCCTCCTTAGCAAAACCAGGACTGAAGACCCAACCATGTCCT